ATCTTTTACGTAGCATATCGGTAATATGCCATTCTATAATTTTTTCCTTATTCTTATCATACCGGTATGGTTTTTGACGAACCGGCAATGCAATCTCCGGTGTCAATACTATGGTTAGTAACCTGAGTAAATCCTGGAATATCACTAAATAAGGAAGCAAATTCACTTACCACTTGTCGGATTCTATCTTGCTCGTCATTAGGCAGGTGGTCAAGATTTAACCTTGGCGGTTCAACCTTTTCTACACGCACTGGTTTCATTGTCAGCCTAAGGGATGCTTCATTAAAATCCAGTGTAGCTTGTGCGTCTGAAAGAAAGTCTATTCCTAGGATTAAATGTGCTTGCAAATTCTTTACTATAAAAAACATCACCTTTACTTGTTCGTCCTTGATACGGATATATAAAGGTACTTTACCTACGCACTTACATTCTTCTCCTTGCGCCGCTAATACTGTCGTATTATCCGCATTATATATGCGGTATTTGCGAAAATACTTTCTTCTAAAAAAGACTTCTGCCACCCAGGAACACTGCGCGCCGGTATCCAGGAGTGCGGTGGCCGGGATATTATTTACCAAGACTTCATTCTTCGGAAGAGTTAAATTTTTCACCATTACTGTATTTAACTTGCAGGAAGAGGGATTTTCGTGGCTTTCGGATTTCCGCACCCTCTCGTCAGCAGAAATCCGTTTTAGTTTAAATTATTTTTCCTTTCCGTGCTTTCCTTCTTTCTCCAATGGCCTTGAGACTTTTTTCCTGGGTTGCTATTAAACTGTCGACGTTCGCCGCCTGTTTTTGAATGCTCGGGTTTCCTTGCCCAGTGATTCGCTTTTTCTCCGTAGCCGTATGCTTGAGTTTGCTGTAGTCTTGGCGTATCAAATTGGTTTCACTGTTGATATTGGCGTCTTCTTTCGACATCCGCCGTTCTTCTACTTTCAAACTGGATTGCTAGCTCAAATAACTTTTCCAGTGTAGTCGGATTTCTTAATTCAATAAAATCTTGCACTTGGGGCAGTAACCTCGGCAAAATCACTTTGAATTATTTCAGGATCCGGACGGTTTCCATACAAGAGCTTGAAACGTGAATTTTTCTTAAAATAAAGCTCGAGAGGTTTTCCATCTTTTGTTGATATATACTGAAAAGTTCTGTTTCTAATTTGGCACGATCCCTTACAACAGGAAGGCTTTTAGTAGGTAGGGCAGTCTTGAAATTTTCGTAAGTATAGGTGGGACTTCCTGCTTGACCCAAGAGACTTCTGCCGATACATTTGAACCAGTTAAGCGCTTGGCCCCTCAAAGCGCTGGTAGCTAAGGTAACTTTTTGAAACTCGTGCACGGGGTAGAGCATGAAGTGGTCATCCAATTTTTCCAAAAAACTGGTTACCGGTGAGTTTCCATTAAATGTTGCTTCTGGTTTCATCGAAGCGCGCATGGTCTGGACGATGTACCCAAATCCTTCCAGGGCGGCAGCCGGCATTTCTGGATTCTGAGCCGTTTCTGCAGGCAGCACAGGTTCTTCTTGAAACTCGGCCATGGTTATTCTTCTTCGTCGGGCGCCACTATCAGGTTCATTGTTTCTTCTAACCTTCTTCGGAAACATACAAGGACCTGACTAAGAACAGAGAGCTTACTAAAGCTATGTTCACTAATTGTAGTAAGTAGACAGGATACAGACGAAGGGTATACAAAACCCTTTATTTTCTTTATATACAATGACTTCCGTACTTCGGAATACAATGACCCTCCACTCGGGGTCTAACGTAAAAGATATCAAAATAAAACTAAACTCTAATTTAACTTTAGAATAAGATTGGCCTTATAATAACAGGAAGCGTATGTAGCACAGAGACTGTGAACACTACAATACGTTTAATTTATCAAGAGGATTAATACCTCTGGCCTGGAAGGCAAATAGCAACTGCGTAACTTCTAAGGTAAGCGGCCTGCTTCGAACTCACTGCTTCCTCTCTCTTTCGCTTGGCAAAAAGGCCACACTTAAATACTTGGCGTTCGCGAGAAAAACTTTGCATAAAATCCTTCACGCTTATAATTCTGGCCGGAAGTAGAAAATAAGAAGTGATAGTAAAGATTTAAAATAAAATAAACGTTAGTAAAACTTAAGATCCTTACAATGTCAGCGCACATCCATTTTCAGGACGAATTGAGGACTGGTGTCGGATGTTCCGAGAGCCGAGAGGTTTTCGTTAGAATTAGTTTTTGTTCGTTATCCGAATATTGTTCGTTGTCCGATTTGTTCGCTGTCCGAACTGTTCGTTAACCGATCACCCAATGTAATCAGCAAGCAGGGAAGGGCTCCATTTTCCCCTGGTATATTTTCTCTTTCTCTGTAATGTCTTAGTGAAAGCGGTCATCGTGTTCATCGCTTAATGCACCGCAGGTTATCTGGGACAAAAACATTCTAGGTGGGAATTAAGGAAATGTATTTTTAAAGACATGTTGTAACCTATTTTCTTATATGATAACAACAGCTTCTCCACCCAACGTTAGTAGCCACTTTTCGAAAATTTATCCAAGCATTCTTCTCGACACATATTAAGATATTTTCGAAACATTCGTCCTTGAAGATATTTCGGATTTGTGGTCCAACAAAGCTGCCTTTCTCTAGTTTTGTTCCACTTAGTCTATTGAAATTTCCCTCGAAGGTATTGAAATGCCGGGCCATTTTTATCCATCGCTTTCAAAAAATTCTTCATTAGGCCTTATTTTATGTGTAGTGGTGGTAGTAATATCTGTGTTGGGCCAATTAAAGGCACATGCTACACGCTTTTTTTACCTGGTTCCAAGGACTCTCTAGTAGGACATCTGTCTTTTTAAAATAATCTGCTCTTGCTAGACTGTCCCATTCACCCAAAAAACAGCAGAATTTCGTGTATACTTGCTGAAACCCTAGTAAAAGAGCAACTACTTTTAAATATGCATACAACTTCCCATTTATATTGTTCGTATTTGATGCACGTAAGGAGATTCCTCAAATTTTCATACTATTCCTTCGTACAAACGGAGTGGCCAAGAGGAATCGGCGGTAAATTATTTCTGATATGCAGCAGAACAGATTTTAAGCTTAATGTTGAACCATCTATCAACAATCTTCATTCTTCCGGTTTATGATTCATGTCAAGAGCTTCGAATAAAGCATTTACATCCTTGCAAAAAATTAAATCTCTGACAGTGTCGAAGAATGGTGTAAAATGTTTCTGACGAATATGAAAATGAGTCATCACCACGCCATTTTCCAAAAGATCCCGCTGCTTTAATTTTGGTGCCACGTTATTTTTTTGACTAACTTAGATCTCTCACTAGATCGTTTCATTCGGCTTGACTTATCATGTGACGCTGTCTAAGTGAAACACTGGTGTCGTAATCGGGATCCAAAGACGTTGATGGCATGTTTAATAACATGGCAAACTTCAGTACTTTTCCGATTCCGAGTCAGAGGTATAGATTTCCGGCGGTTTCGGAACTGGCAAATCATCATTATGCGGTATTGGTCGTATAGCGGATAGTATATTTGGATGCATTATAATGGACTCCTTTTTTTTTCAATACACTTGACACCTGTCTTACAGAAAGAACCAAGCAGAAATAGCAGTGATACACAGGATCTAATGGCTCTCTCCACACCTTTGGGACCGCAAAGAGCATCAATATTTTTTATGATTTAACCAGTTTCACACACCAGAAGTGCACACATTACAGCAGATGTGTGGCACCTAGGAGTTGTCTTGATCTCCCGCATTGCAGCCCAAATAGAAATTGTAAGCTTTTTTAACCGTGGCAGTCACGTTTCGTTTCTGCGACGCAAAAGTCACCTCACCACAAATATGACATAAACTGTCCGCGTTATTAACCCATTTACTAGGCATCTTGCTTGAACATTGCCTTAGAATTGACAGAAGTACTATGCAACACTCTGTGCCGAGTGTATCATCCCTCAAAGATAAACATGAGGAGCATGCGTTCTTATATCAGAGATATTTCATTAGTGGGCGGATAGGTGCTAGCCCATAGGTCTTCGAACCATGAACTAATAAACAAATTTAACAATTATTTTCGTGTTCAGCAGATCAAAACTAATAGGAATTAGTTGTTTTCATCTCTAATACGTTTTTGCTGTTGATCGGTATAATCAGTGTAGAATAAAATGCGTAGTATATGTTTTAATTGTTACACAAAAATCATAAAACTCATCCACGTAATGTCTAATGTTCATCTATAAAAGAGGTCCTTTGGAACCAAATCTTTAACGATGTGTTTCAAATTAAATGTTATGTCAAAATACAGGTTTAATTTTTATAATGGCCTGGGAGAAATTTATTTCATTAAAGCAGCAAGAATTCTTGTTTTAACGCAGAGATAGAAAAATAATTCGTCACCCTAAGAAGGTTGGCTTGTGGCAAAAAGAGCAAATTCGTGGATCACTGGCTGTTCAGAAGGATTTCACAGTTTACCCATGAATAACAGAAATATGGGTCATTTTGCAGTAAGACGTTTTCACGAAGGCTTTTCTTTCTAGAGGCAGATAACTGTTGCATGTTTTTATATAAAATATACCTTGGATATATTTGTATAAATATACTTTGGATAAACTTGTATAAATATACTTTGGATAAACTTTTATATGAAATATATTTGTTCTTTGGATTACAAAGATTAAATCTGTACTTTATCAGACACAGTTGCAAAATTTTTTCATTGTAGCATTTACACTTTATCATTCTAAGTGTCTATGTGCTTTGAATCAACACGACCTAAGCTATTTTATTTTATTTTGTATTTGATTTCTAAAAATTATTCTGATTGAAAGTGACACATAGGTCTGTGAAACGCATCAAAAGAATAACTGAAATTTCTAAATATCGAAAGTAAAGTAAACAAAATGAAAAGAGGGGGAATTTTACTTGATTAAGTTATGAAAGTTGATTAGGTTTTTAGGTTATGAAAGGTTTCTTCGACGGTTTCTGACGTATGTTCGTTTTCAGATTCCAGTTAAGTTCAGTGCAAAGCCGAGATGGTCTGCGACGTTTCAGCTTGGCTAACACGGTAATTGGAGACACGTGCCCGAAATCCCCACCGTGTCCTACCACAAAATACAGAACATCTGACGGAACTTGCAATAACCTGAGACATCCAGAATGGGGCAAAGCTTTCCACACGTATGTTAGGGTACTGCCACCACGTTATTCGGATGGTAAGATAAAGTTTCATTGCTTAGTATTTCACACGAATATTGAATTTATATAATTAAATGTTCTACAGCACATTAACTATAAGTAAATGTTCTACTTATAGTTAATGTGCTGTAAATGAAATTATTGACGGTGAAAAAATTATTATATACATTCGCTAGTGTAATGTAACTGCATATACATACATATTTTCTTATTCTGTTAGAAACAAACAAACAAAAAAAAAAAAAAAAAACTCCATGGAAGAAGACATTTGTGTGTTTAAAAATGTTCTATACTAGTTAAGGGGAAAAAAGGACATCATGATTAGAGTTTAAAATTGTTAAGCAAATTTATGCATCCAAGTGTGACACAAAATTAGTTGTTCGTTGGTTAACGTATTGCATATAAAGTACAGTAAAATATAAAATTTCATTTATTGTTTGCTTCTCATCCTGACAACTAGACCCAAACCTCATATTTCATGTAACTTATGAGTTTTAAAATGTTCGTATTTCACATAATGTCGCGGTTTTAAATGGATCTCACTATGACAACACTGAAGCCACATTATCCTTTCAACATGAAGGCTAATAGATTCGATGACTGATATGCGGAGCCTGGGAGTGTTCTGTACAGCGGGTTTAAGAGCAAAAGTTACCAGGAGAAATACTTTACTTAGAGCAAATGAGGCGAGTAGATTAATTTACGGACTAACGTATACAGGATGGACAAAGAGACAGATTAGAACTTATGCATATACCTAGCGGAATTTAAAGAAATTTGCTGATAACTCGTTCATTGACATAATGTGAAGCAATGCTGACTACTGCGCCGCTATATTGTAGAGTATTCAAACTGGATGGGTCGCCCCTGTAATGCAAACTTCGTGTATATTTTCCCCTCTTCGGTCTAACGGAGCCACTCCTGCTCTCGCTAAATTTTCGTTCTTAATCCTAGAAATTCTTTGGTCTGACCCAAATTCGATTCCAGGAGAACGGGATGGCTGTATGGTTGGTTTTCGTGCATCAATATGAGCCAGTTTCCTTTATAAATTCCTCCATCAAGGCATCCCTTTCCCAGGCAGACAGCCCTTTCCTTAGCAGATAATAATAATAAAAAGAATTCTGTGTGGTAGCCATATTTTCAACTCGGATTTAATTTCCGATAAACGATATAGGCTTTCCATTGATTTACCAATGCGTAACGTCATAACAAATCAATTTATATTTGAAAGTTGTTCGAGAAGTAATACCTTATTCAGAAGTCAAATAACAAAAATCAGCGTCATATTTTCAAATTTTGAAATTTTGTTCTCTGACTTCTGAATTCATATATTTGTTCGGCGTGTTATTATGTCTTAATTAAGTAATACCATCTTTTAAACATATAGCCTACGAATTCTTCGCTCTAATCGATTAAACATTATATGGTATCGCATTTGTTGTGTTGGGTTTAAATGGAAATAGATTACAATGACAAACTCAGAGGAAAATTCCTTAAGTAGTCGTCTTGTTAGCTTGTAAGGGTCCTTACAAATTACAGTTTAGTTTACTTGTTAGTTTGTAAGAGTCCTTACATTACTTGTCTTATTACATTTTAGTACTGACTTAAAATTCTTATAAATATTGACTTTATATATTAATGTAATATTTTATACTCTCTTTTTGTGACAAAATTTATTGCTTTTTAATGTAATAATAATGCAATATTATGATTAATTTTCAATGTATCAATTTTTTAGTGTAATAATACTTCTTCCAATAGTATGCAAAGAAACACAATATTTAAAATGTGTAAAATATACAATATCCAAGGAGTAAAAATTTCAATCTTTCGAAAGTTCAATTATGCGCACAATCGCTTTTATTAAGATACATTGTTTAGCTTACTTATTGTTTGTATTTGATTTTTGTTGATAACAAGATAATTTGCTTTCATTTTAATGCGCTTTCTTGTGCTTTTATTCCTGTTTTCTTTATTTTGCATTCTATTATTATATTTTGCTTTTATACATTATATTACTATTGCCAAAGATAATCGGACACCTAGTGGAAAGTAAGAAGTATTGTACTTTACGTCATCATTAAACGTTTGTGAGCTCATAGTAAACATATTACACACGGACACACACCATGCGACACTTACGAGCACACACGATGCGAACTAAGGATGAGCACACATGATACGAGCTAAGGAAGGAAAACGTGGCATGGTTATCAATGCATACTATTTCTGAAAAATTCAGATACCACGCACAAAAGTGAGTGGTGTAGTAGTTCAATGGAGGTATAAAAGTCCAGTGTCGACTTTTATAACGACTTTTTATAACTTTTATAACGAATTGACAAATTGGGATCGTCGATGCTTCCAATGTGAAGTCAAATGAATGGTATCGATATAAATTGTAACTACAAATTTTCGACTAATTTGGGAAATGATATCATCTCTTAACGAGCTACAGTATAAAAGACAACTATCACAGCATTCTGCCAATAGACTTTGCCTTATGATTACAGTGTGCAAAATGCGTCCCCAGGTACACTGGAAGAATGGAAGACCATCTTATGGAGTGATGAATCAATGTATATATTATGAACAATCCAATAGACGTGTATGGATACGATAAATGCTAGGTGCATGGTACTTATGGGAAGTATTGCCCCGAATGTGAAATTTGGTGAAATAGAAATTCTTCGTGTGGTCTTTTTCAGTTTTCGTTTGCTTGTTTTTGGATTCGGAAACCTGAATGCGAGGGCTATGAAGATATATTGTAGAACTCTACTCTGTGTATAGCAACAATTATCACTCTTACTTTCTAAAACAAAGATCACACATAGAATGGTTTGGTGATAAAGGAAAGCATGAACTCGAAAAACAGGCTCAAAGTTTCGGTTCAGTCTTTGGGATGAAATGGAGCTAAAGTTGTGAGCCAAATCAAATCACCTCAAAAACAATGCAGAATTACTCACAATGTTGCAGGAAGACTGATGCAAAATGTACGCAGATATTTATAGAAACGTAGTAGAAAGAATTTCTGAAAGAGTAGAGGCTATGGCAGCGACGGATGACAGATTTATGTTTGTTTTAACACCATTTAAACTTTAAACAAATATATTACTGTGGGTGCGCAATCAATATGAACATTATGGTGTGTGTATGCATCTATCGGATAGAATTTATAACATATTACTGATAACGCTTTAAAATAATTATACTGTTAGTGGAATTAATGAAGGACGTTTCTAATGACAATTAAACAAATAACATATTACACGCTCTGCTATAGAATAATCGCTCGTCCACCACTTGGCTACAATTTAGGTATATTACAATTTAGGTATATATTAGGTAATTTAGGTATTTTTCATTTTATTAATCAGTTAACTGTGATTGACGAGTATACTTGTTATGGAGAAGCGACACGATTTTGTGTATTGACGAGTACACTTGTCATGCATATATTATGTTAATGAAATGGAAAGATAGGAGGGAGGTTTATTTAGTAAGTACTGTGCATAATGACAACATAATAGAAACAGAGAAAAGAAAAATAATAACAAAGAAACCGGAGCTAGTGATTGATTATAATAAAAAAACGGGTGGAGTAGATATGAGTGATGGAATTATCATAGCGTACTCCACAGCAAGAAAACGACTAAAAAATTACTACAAAAAGAAAATACAGCCGACGATAAGTGAGTACAATTTTAATATAATTCTTACTTTTCCAGGTATCAACGAACCACGTGTTTCCTACGATGGTGGTCCGCTGCCCAGTTCCCGCGAAGTCTCCTATCGTGTGAGTCCGTCGAATAACAAACCGAGCAGGAAAGTGACGGTGGCCTTCACATTGTGGGCCCAATTCTTGGCTTACGATCTTTCACTCACGGGTGTCACGCATGGTAAGGCTTCTCTTGCTCTCCCTTCACGTATAGTTCCGGGAAGCGTAATGGCAGACCGCACATTGAGTTGATAGTGTTAAGCGAATTTCGCTTACTGCGCATGCTTAATGGTGTACATTTGGCGCAGGGAGAAATATTGGCGCGTAAGCAACCTTACATTAATTAAGACACAAGTAAGACATCGCCTTACATTAGCTTATTCGTGATGTCCGTTGCTGTGCAGTCTGGTTCAGTGATGTTTACAATTGCAATATTATGGAACTTTGTTTACTCGTTATTTTAACGTCCTTACAGACTGAATTTGCTTTTTTTATTAATATATGTTTCATTTTACTTTAGGCTAATTTGCTGATAACGGTGCATTTAACATATGTTCGTAATAATTCGTTATTTAGATTTAATTTGTTTACATGTTTCAATTCAGTAATGTAAACTGGATTTTCTCTCCTAGTTTGGTAATGTATGGAGGTTTTTTTTTTTCTTCTTATTTCAAAGAATTAAGTAAACAGCATTAAGTAACTGTAAAACTCTTGAGTGTTATTTACAAACACTTGCTATATTCCTCTGAAGGAAACAAATCATTCCTTAAAACTTTTTTCTTAAACTTTTTACTTACAATATATAGAAATTTAGGAAATGTTAAAAAAAAAAAAAAAAAAGCTAATGAACTGCATGTGTATTTAGAAAGATGATACTGTGACATAGTACATAAACATACTTGCATTTATAACATATTAAATTTACTGAAATGGGAAAATACATACCTGAAAGCAATCTTGCAATAGCATTTGGTTTGCAGTTCTTGCGCTGGGCATTTGTATTTACGCTGATTTCCTTTACCCATTTTTTGCACTCTTCAATCGAATTCATACTTGATCGTATCATTCAGCTTTCCAGTTGTTCGAGCAGTACAGGACAAAATCGTATTTTAACACAGTAATTACTTTACATTTACATTATACTCTGCGAAGATTTAAACACTAGATTTGTTTACAATCAGATGGCGGTACATTTACCATATACCGTATTTATCTTCTTTTCAAATCGCGCCAACTTTTTTTTTCTGGGCATGCGCAGTATGCGACATTCGTTTAACACTATTCAACTCAATGTGAGGTCTGCCATTACGCTTCCGGGAAATGATTTTGGGAAAGACAATTTTTTCTCAAACGTTTTCCTGGTTTAGGGTGCATTTTAAATATTTTAACGCGACATGTTTGACATAATTATGTCTTAACTGTAATTTTCTTGATTTTTTTTTTGCGTAATTATGTTAAAACACGAGTCTTACTGTGTAATATAAATGCCTTTATTAATTTAGTAATTCAGTAAAGCACCATTTATATGTCTTTATTGGACGTAAAATAAAAAAATACGTGGAATCAAAATTTCAGTTTAAAAATATCATACATGTACTTTAGTTGTAGAATTTTAATGATATTGCTATTGTGCAAATTTAATTTTGCCATTCTGATTTTAGTTACTTTAAGATATTATTCGTATTTAAAAAGAAGTTTAATAATTTCGTTTCTAAAATCGTAAAAATTAAAATTGCGTTATGTTTAATATAAAAATTTAAGAAACATACCTTTAATTTTTCCCATTCTTAAAAAATAATTTTTTTTTTTGTCCAGGAATATTTTAACACAGACGCAGATCTTAATATTTCCTAAAGAAAAAAAAAGTTTCTTTAATTGTCATTTATGTGCTGTTCCGATTTGGCCTTAAACAAGGCACTAAGAGTGCAAGGGATAAACAACAGTCCATTTAAAACATTCTTAACAACTTCTTAACAACTGCGGACAAACAACAATACAGTTAAAACATTCTTACCCATAGACACAGGAAAAGAAGAATTAATCGTCAACAAATTTATCTGTTCGACATATTCCTTTGTCTTTTCGATCTATTTAAACGTCTGCCTTTTTATCAACCACTAGATTCGAAAGAAATGAATTTCGAAGAAATTCTTTGAATTTACGAACAACATCGATGAATAAGACAAGAGAAAAATACGTGTAACAGAAGTTATGCGTGGTATAAATAGAATATTCTACTCTTGACACGAACAGGAATGAACTGGGACAGAGGAAAACAGACTCGTAAATGTAATGGTGCTTCACTGTATTTATACTAAAGAAGGTAATGAAATGCAATAGAAAATTCGTTTTTCCTATCATATACTGAAAATTGTTAAATTACTTTTACCCTTTTTAGCATTATTTCAGTAAAATAACTGCATGTTTTGATTAAGTGATTATGTTAAATAATTATTATTTTAGGTGCCGTTTTCTGATGTAGTAATGTTATGCCTTTAAAATTATTATAGTCTACTTACGAGAAAGTAATTAAGAAAATTATATTACACTAGGTGTCTGTAATTTCGCTTAGATATTATTCGATCATTTTTCAAAGTTTCGAAGTATTTAGATCCCACCAGTGGCCATGTTGTTCAAACCTGATAGTTCGATTTGGGTTCGAACCCAGGCCAACGGGCTGTCTGCATGGTTGGTTTTCGAGGTTTTTTCTTTATGTAAGGTGCGTATGAGCTAGTTTTCCGCGGAACGTTCCCTTCGAAGGCTTCCATTTCCTTAGGCAGACAGCCCTGGTGTGCTTTGCAATATTTAAATAATGTAACCTAACTTGACCAATGTATTCGACCGTTTTCTGTGTAATTTCCATAATAAAACCAAAATATTTGACTGAAAATTATATGAAAGCCTATGATATTATGAAAAAGAATTGAACGAAAATTTATAAAAAAATTATACGAAGTCTCATGCATTCAAGGTATTAGAAAAAAAATATAATCTACACATGAGTTCAGGTACAATTTATATGAAACTTTGTGGCGTCAAGATAAAAACTACGCAAAACATCATGATTCGAGGTAGAATTGAAATGGCACCTCATTACCTCATGATAAAAATTATATCAATCAGCCTTATTAAATTCCTACTATTAGCTCACACTCTCCCTATATCTTGTTCAAATTTTCAATTGTTAATAAAATACTTTTCATTCATCCACTCTAGTTCAAATACATTTTTTTAAACTTGTAGTGGCTTAATGTTAATAAAGTTTTTCCACGTATTAAAGTCAATGCGTACTTATTTATTCCTGTTTATCGGAACTAAAGATATACTGTTTTATATTATAAGACTTACAAATAAGGATCGTTTTTTAGGAATTATCATGTGATGTAAAAATAAATTTTATAACAACTTATAAATAATAGTACATGACTGTGATAAATAGGATTGTAGTATTCAAAAAAAAAAAAAAAGTTGCAACAGTAAGACAGAGTTATAAAGATTTTTAAAGTGTATGGAATCAAAGAATTTTAGTTTTATAAAGTTGGAGGCAGCAGATATGATGTCCCATTATGTAGCGAAAATTTTCCGCATATTTCTGTGTTTAACGTGATAAAAATATATGTTTAAAATGTAACCCTTTAAAATGTCCCTTTCTTCACAAACGGAGAATGCGAAAAGAAACTACAACACAACGCAAGAGACGATTAATAATCCATTAATACTATACTCTTCGCAGCAGGTCAAGCATATGCCGCCTTGAGTCGCATGAAATCATTAGATAGAATATTAATTGAAGAACTGGAGTGCTCGAAGGTTCTTTGCAATAATGAAGCATTACAAGGTATGGATAGAATGAGAAATTATAGACTAACATCAGTTTCATCAATTAGAAACCAAAAAATGTTAATAATGTTAATAAAAAGTAACTAAAAAAAACAAACATTTCTTTGTTGACCTAAGTAGGAATTGACTTTAAAAAAGTTTTTTTTTATATTACTTGTTTTATGGGAAAAAAAATACTCGAAGTCTGATGGCTAACTCAATGTATCATGACTTTTGGTATCAATTTAGCGAAGTATCAGGATTCTAGACGAGAATTACGATCTCACGATGACTTCATGACAGCCACATTGCATTAGAAAATTATAGGAAAAAAATCTCAGATTATGATGCTAACATTAGTATTAACATTAACACATTATACTATGTATATGTTATGTGTTAATGTTAATATAACATAAAGATTGTAAATTTTACATAAGAAAATGTAATTAAGGACAAATAATTTCATTCAATTGAAATCAATTATTAAGAGGAATAAATTTCAAAACAATGATATTATAATTTCCCATAAGAATGTGATTAATTTATTTACATAATTCTTATTCGTTTTTAGCTGGAAATGGAGACAGTATAATATGTTGCCATCCTGAAATACAGAAAAATCCTCGACTTTTGCATCCAGCCTGCATGCCGATTCATATCCCGGATAATGATCCCTTCTTCCGTCAGTTCGGAATTACCTGCATGCATTTCTTACGCTCAGTGGCTGCTCCTCGAGCTGATTGTACATTCGGTAATTTTTTCTGATATTTATATGTTAAGCTAAACTTCCCAAACTTTTTCGAAATCATTATGGAACAAAGTAATTTCGGTGATTTATTACAAAAAATTGTGCGTTTTTGATATGTTACCATGAAATCACTCAATCTGACGCCAGGTTTAAAAGATTTTAGTCTTCTGTGATGATGGTTCCCTTTAACAGAATATGATGTTAGAAAAGTGTTTATTTATGTTTTCAGAAATACTGTTTAAATTTAGGGGCAGTTGCCATGACAGGTTTCACAGCATATGGGGAAAAATTATTATTACCCTAATTGTGGTACAACACTTGCCTAAGTTTCAGCTTTATACTGGTATAATTGTTTAATTTCTTTATGAATATAAGCTGGTATCTATATAGATACACTATTTAATTAAACTTCGCTATTCCTCATCAAATATTTATGTTGAATGTAAACACTTAGAAAACTTAAAATTTTTGTTCATCGTGTTTACATTCTAAATTAATTTTAAAACGCGATTCATTTAAAATTATTTAAGTGGCTTAATTTTATTTAATTTCGTTATTCGTTTCCCGAATACAGAACGCAGCTAGAATAGAAATCTACAATGCTTTTTGAAAGCCAGTCATTTTGTGAACCTTGGGAGTTCTCTAAAACGCATATGTAAAAAGCACGGATAAATGACTAAATAATAATTTTGATCCCCAAGACATCTTTATGACCTATGTAAGGAGAGTAACAAAGTTCCCATCAGCTACTACATTTACAAAAAACCTGGGGTATTTACAGAAAGCGAGACATTTACGCGACAAATCCTGACGCAAGGTACTTCGCTGAAGTTCGAGATACAGGACATCCGAACATATCGACTCTAGATTATTCTGATTCAATTTAAGAAGTGTCTTACTGTCCTGTCCTTAATGAAATCTTAAGCGTTTCTTAAAGGATTATGTTGATAAAATTGAGAATATATTTGCAGTGTTCAACACTTGCATAGAGAACATAGGTGCGTAGAGAAAGAACATACGCTGTTATTTGAATTAAAAAGGTCAGAAGTATTTAGGTTTATTCAGGTATTTAGGTTATTTTTCAGACAACCCATGGTCAGTCTATTTCCATAAAATATTCCAAATGATTTGTTTTGGTACAGGTAATTTTCGAAATAATTTGCATAAAGTGAATTTTACAATTTCCCTTTTAAATATTTTATCTTTATTTAAACTATGTGAAGAAAAAAATACGTTTTTGTGCTATGAATTTTGAAAAACAAATGACAACATTAAGTACCATAAACTTATAGCGGCAAATCACTGACAAATTCCTTCAGAGTATTGCATCATTTCACCTATAATTCAAAGCATATATTTATTTAATTTGTTGGAATCTGGTGTTCCCGGTTTCGATAATGAAATGAGCTTTGAACTATATGATTAAGTTTCCGGAAACGCTTTAATACAAAAGTAATTTAAATTTATACCAGCAACGAACATAAATATTTGAAAGTCATTCACTTGCTTTCATCCAAAATATGTTAAAAGAATGAAAGAATACCTGAGAAAGTAATAATAAAAGGGTGTAAGTATTAGATATGACTGGTGTTTAGATTCCCTTATTTAGTGTCGTAAAACCTTAAAATGTGATTTTCACCTCCATTTAGGTTAAACTGAATTTGAGTGAGAGCAGTCTTACTGCATATAATGCCCAAATAAAAGCAAATACCTTGACTGATTTTTTTTTAAACGTTAATATTTTATAAATAAAAGTATTCATTGTGAAGTGAATTCCCTTAAAATTGCTAGAAAGACACACAATTTATTACTTTCAAAACATCATTGAACATTTACAAGAGAGCAGTGACTTTTTTGATTATTTTCAACAAATCATTTGACATTTATAAGGGAACATTACGCCTTCTGATCGTATAGTAATTTAACTAAAATTCAGATGATGGTTTTCATTATTTACGACATTATTCTCTATTAAAAAAGGAAGCAGCTTCTAGCTTCTATTTTAATGTTGCATTAAAAAAATGGGATCGATATGAAGTTTCATTTGTTTTATTCTCCTCTCCAAAAAGAAGATAAATTAATTTCAGAGTACTTTGGTTAAATTTTTAATACGCTATGTTCATGCTGTGCTTGATTCAAAAGTAAGTTTGATTCTAAACTTCGTAGAAATTAGAGAAAAATCATTATTCTCTCTTTTTTTTCCCTTCTCTGTTTTTGTATTTTCTTAGTATGCATTATGAGTACGAATTACATCAATAACGCGTTAAGAAGATACGAAATATAATTTTTATTTAATGCAGACACAGCTAGTTTATAACTTGTATTTATTTACTAAATCTTTTATTCTCAAATAGACTGCTTAAATGCTTTATTATTTTTATCAGCAAGACAGCTACGCAGCCAATAAGATAAAATGAAAAAGAGATTGTTTAGTTAGGTTTTCTTTATTTTTTCTTAGCTCAAACACGTCTATTCAACTGTGCTCAAAGTCAAAACGTTCACCAGAGGAAGGAACTGTGTAAGCGCACAAGGGATTACATAGATGGCGTACATGTTTAAGCACACAAAGGATTATATAGATTACGTACATGTCTTAAACGCATAATGGATTACATAATCATATAGAGATTAGTAAAAAATACTTTTCTTAACGTAAGAAATCTCCTTAAACTTTTATTTTAAACTATATGTTAAAATGTTCAGTGTATAAAGTAAGAAGATTCCAAATTTCCAAAGCTGAGATTGGGAATTTTTAATTCTGTCTTCTATATATACAGTGGGTAAAAAAGTATTGGCAATTGCCTATAATTGATCATATTATCTTACAAAGGAAATCTTTAACGATTTTAGCTGGACATAAAGAACATAGGAAATAATAAACACACAAATCTAATGAAACTTTCAATTTAGTATGCGTTTTACTCAAAATATACAGCAAAAATGTAAATTTACATATCAAAAATGTATTGGCAAAGTTCTAACTGCTATGCAGATTTTGTTATGTGGAGGTCACATTGTTTAGACTGATAAGCAACCTTATTAGTATAAAGTCTGCAGTGCTACTTCAAAACTTTTAAAACGTTATTCTGCTAATACTGTGATAAAATGGCAGTTGAAGGAGTTGGATGTTAATGTTAAAAACACGATTATTCAGCTCAGAAATGAGGGTTTAACTTATCCTGCTATAGGAATACAATTGGACATAAGTTTATTTACTGTTACAAGTGTAAAAAATTTCAAAGAGACAGGATCGACGGAAAATAAGAACAGAAGTGGACGGCATCATATATTTTCTGCACGGGAAAACCGTGCAGAAAGAGGTTAAGAAAAACCCTAAAATAATTGCACCCCATTTAGCCAAAGATATTGCTAATACTTCGCATAAAACTTTTAGTGTACAGACGATACAGAATGTTTGACATGGAGGAAGTTATTATGGAAAGGCAGCTAGAAAGAAACCTTTCATTTCAGAAATAAACAGTTAGGCGAAAGGGAATAGATTTTGCAAAATCTCATTTTAATTTATCAAAAGAATTTTGGAACACTATTATTTTGTCCGACGAACCGGAGTTTAACATTTTCAAGAGCGATAGACAACAATATGTATGGAGAAAACCTAACACCGAACTTGTAAAACATTTAACATCGGCTGTAAAACATGTTGGAGGGAGCGTCGTAGTTTGGGGCAGTATGGCAGCACAAACGGAATGGGTAACCTGTGATTCATTGATGGTATTATGACAGCACGCACGTACATTGACATATTGCGCCATAACATGAAATTCAGTGTCCCAAAAAACTTGGCTTAGGAACATCATTTGTGTTTCAAGACAACAACGACTCTAAGGATACAGTGAACCACATTTCGGAATAGTTACTCTATAAAACTCCTTGCCAGTTAAAGACACCTCCGCAATAGCTTGACATAAATTCAATTGAAGTTTTATGGCACGAATTGGACCTAGAAGTCAGGAAACATAAAATTTCGTGTAAAGATGCGTATTCTTGAGCGTATACTCCTGCAAGAATGGCACTAAATTTCCAACAGGACTTTGGTTTTTCCCAACAGGACTTTTTACAATCAGGACTTCGCTTTTCTCTACGAGAAATAGATTATAAGCTCTTATAGATGCAAAAGGTATGAATACAAAGGATTGAATTTTATTCCCACATTTTGCTGTATGATCTTGCCAATACTTTTTTGCATGCAAATTTACGTTTTTGTTGTATATTTTGTGTAAAAGGCATAGTAAAACGAAAGTTTCATTAGATTTCTCTCTTTATTGCATCCTGTGTTCATTATGTCCAGCTAAAATGGTCAAGCATTTCCTTTGTTAGCTAATATGATCAGTTATAGGCAATTGCCAATACTTTTTTTTACCCACTGTAAGTCGCATCTGATCGCATTTCTGACTAATCAGTCTTCAAATCAGATTCAAGGGATGTTAAAAAAAGTCATTTGCCTGTTATCAGTAAGCAATGTTTTGGGTTCTTGCTCAGGTAATAAGAGGCAGTCTGTCAGCAGTGTTAGAAATCTTTGGAATTACGTCTCATTCAGTCCCTATGTTACATTGTTTGTAGGTAAAGTATCGGATGCTTTATAAATTAGTCCGCTGATAATAATGTTGATTTAAATAATTATCTGTATATGTATATACAATATATCTATATATATAATAAATCCTGTGTATAGAAAGAATAATAAAATTGTTTAGACACTTGAATTGACACAACGGAGAAGAAAAATTTGCAGACGTAGCGTGGATCCAACACATAATTTTACTTCTTGATAACAGATTCTTAGTACACATTTCACATCATCTTTTTAGATGCTATAAACACCCCACAATTTTATACCACTGATCATACATATCTCGATCACTGGACGATGTAGCGAGCAGAAGGACGCGTGCTCTCAGTGCAAGAGGAAAGCACGAAAATTAGTGTGTATTTCAGCAAAGGAATATTTAGAAGTCTTTGTTTAAATTTTAAGCAGTGATTGGACAAGAGATGCCCGCATTACAATATTAATAAAATCACAGAATGCTGATTAGTTTTCAGATGACGTACTTTAGACTCATACATTAGTAGATTTAAGACAGAAAGAGGACATAGCCAAATTAAAATTAGGAATTAATAGGACTTTGCTAAATTAAAGTTAACAGTTCTTTTCATATTTTATATCACATATATTTCATATATATAATGTATCATCTTTACTGCGCAGTATGCAAATGTGCTCGCCATAGCGCGAGTATGAAGACTTGAACTTTTGCCGAGACTCACTACTGACTACTTACTTCTCATTGTTATTGTCTGTTCGTTGCGTCGGCTCGTGTGTGTGTTGATGTTAAATGTTTAACCTCCTGCAAGATGTGCTTACCTCTGTTTTAACCGTTTGAGTCCGGCGCGCGCTTCACTTGTCGTATGCCAAAAATACGGCTCAGTGCGATAGCGCTTCTCTTGTTTTGTATCGAGAATGCGAAGACACTGCTGTTGGTTTGTATACTTGAAACAAAAATTATTGAAAATTGAAAAAAAATTATTCAAATATTCAATTGGTTTCGCATCAGGAGGAGGGCCATGCTTTGGTCCAGGTATTTCAGAAAAAAGTATTCGATTCGTTCGAAACAATTGTATCCACGGGTAAAAACTCATCAATAATATCGTAATCGGAGGTACTTGCAGTTACTTCATCATCATCACTGCTATCACTAATAACTCGTAATCTCTTAGAACGAATGATGATGTCACTTTCACTATCACTTTCAAGGTCATTACTATACTCTTCATTATCACTTTCAAGGTCATTACTATACTCTTCATTATCACTTCTCATAACATAGTCACTTTCAAATGAATCAGAACTTGACATGGGTTATTTCGTAATTATCAGTATAACGCTTGGTAAAAAAATGAAAACAATTTCCAATTCCTATAAAACAACTGCTACTGATATCACTACAACTGCTCTCAATAATTGCGTAAAGTAAACTAACCAACACCAGCGTCTTCGCATTCTCGATACAAAACAAGAGAAGCGCTATCGATACAAAACAAGAGCTGCGCCGTATTTTTGGCATACGACAAGTGAAGCGCGATAGCGCTCCGCCGGACTCAAACGGCTAAATGTTAAATAAAGTTGGTTTTAACTGTTAGCTGAAGTTTGTGCTTTTCTACTGACTAACATATATATTATATTTTACTTTGACCAAAATAAAAATTCTTGCTTTACAAGCATGGTCTATTACTTCTTGAGCTAAATCTTTGAATCTTCCCTTTTCCAATTCATTCCCTACTGTGGCAGGCTATTTTTACAAAATGTCATTCTTACTTTTTATTTCCTGCTTATGAACTAATGTAGTTTCTTTTAAATGTGACGACATAAATTTCTTTACGGTAAGCAAAAAATATCGTGCTGTGTACAGTTTGCGACATGACAACGAATGTGCCACGGTTGTTGACAAAAGCATCATCGAAGAAAATGTCGCTGAGAATATGACGCAGAGGAAAAATATAATCTTACAAAGTAAATCATGGTTAAAGAAAAGCAAAGAGAAAACATTTCGGACGTCTTAAACAAAGTACGGTACAAAACATTGAGTTAGAAAATAATATATGATACTTTTTTTCAGTTAATGATATTGACGATACAGTTTCGCAGCTTCATACCAATGTTATGATAAAAAGAATACTGTTAAAAAACATCAAATGACAAAAACATCGAAGAAACATGCCTCTTACATGTGTCTAATTTTGTGAAATTTGTGTATGGAATGCAATATTATTTTGAGTACATGGTCTTAATGATCGTCAAAGAAAACATTCACTTTATGTTTTACTATGAGGTTTTTACAGCCGTGAAATTTGACACCGGCTTATTTTTAACATGATATTTTCTACTACGATATTTTAGAATTGCGATGTTTTCTCTCTGCTTATTTTTCTCTTTTACTACTATATTTTATAAGACATTATTTCTGTTTATGAGTTTTATTTCACGTCGACGAATTTTGTCCATGCCACGATGTTTATGCGACGGTGTTTACATGGACTAACTGAGCAACATATAAAGGTAACAATTCAGGATAAAAATGATATGTGGCTCGTGCGCACATAGAGTATAAATGACAGTGTTGCGTTTTTTTTATTTAGTTAAGGAAAAGGTTTCCTGTATACTAATGACAGATGATAAAACGTTTTTATAGGACCTCGAGAACAACTTAACCAGGTCACTTCTTACCTCGACGCATCATCAGTTTATGGTTCATCTGAGAACACAACAAAAGCCTTGCGTAGCTTTGAAGGAGGTAAGAGCTAATTATCAACTATATTTTATGCTATGTATAGTAGAAAAGAATTAATAATGTGTAATAATGTAAATGGCTTATGTTCTGCAAATCAGTTACACAGTTGAAGTACTGAAGTAATTTTGCTTATGATGAATGCTACAATTGTAGAAAATCAGCCAGAAAGTCACAATAAGCAATGCATATCGGGTTGATTATAAAAATGGATTTTTAAAATTTAAAACTACTTCGATTTGATTTTACTTACATGTCATGTATTTACTGCATTCATATTTACTGTGTTCCTTTATTTTAGGTAAATTAAAATGGTCTCTGACTGGAGGTGAAGAAATGTTGCCTAGAAACGGATCTGTACCTTGTTCTAGCAGAGATACGCCATGTTTTGCTACAGGTGATTTATTGAATGTAACAATCTTAAAAAATTTCTCGTATTCCAAACGTTAGCTGAAAAGTCATGGTATGTGTTTGGCCGTCCGAAGAAATTACTATGCTTTCTATAGACAAAATCTGTAAATGTAACCATGAGGTTCTTTATCATTCACATTATCTGAATTACAAACTGTGCTGAGTACATTGTAGTTAGTTATACGTAAATTTTAAAGAAGTACACAACTGTTACCCAGGAAGTACCGTAAGTCTAAAGAATAAGAAATAATTACCAGTTTTCAGAAATTGGATATCTCACCAAGGGAATGATGGGTCCTCTGAGTCCCCTGAAGCTCAGAACTGACTTCATTTGACGTTTATCTGTGTAGTTATATAAAATACTTAATTAATCTCTGAGGATTACAGAATGAAGTAATTTATCACTCTTATCGTCACACTGATCCTGTAAGGTTCCTACTCGTCTCTAAAAATCCTGGAAAGTCATGAAAAGTCAGAAAAGGGAAAAATAGTCAGGGAAAATATAATATTGTTTTCAAACACCAGGTAAAGGCAGAAAACGTTTTACAGAAAATCATAGAAACAAAAGTCAGGTCAGTGTTCTCAAGTAATAACATGTTCCTGTTTTAAATAAAAAACTGTAAACAAAAGCTTTCATTATTAAAAAGAAATAAAATGAAGCTTTATTAAATGTTTTTCTTGCAGAAAATATTTTAGATATTTGCAATCATAATTGTCCACTGTTTAAGCTTTTTTAGTTAAGCCAATTATAGTATTACTTTCGCTTTCGCAATTCTGCAGCTAGATGTTGCCATAACTCCTATTTCGTCAACTTCCACTCGAAAACAAATTAGTTAAAATATATATAAACTTCTAGGCCAAGTTTTTTTTTCAGGCAGCACATGGCAACATAGTCTGGCCATAACTCTGCTTTACTTTCCCTGCTTCTTTTGTACTCTGATTCAATTCTAAGGAGTGTTAGTCACCCTCAGGTTAAAAGTATTTTGTTTGTGTTAATTTTTTAGTTTGTGTAAACCTTAATTCCACGTGTTAATAAATGGTTCCATTTTGAATTCCTATTTGAGTTGTGGTGCTTGTAACTTAGAAGGCAGACGGGTTTAAAACCTATCTACCAGCTCCTGTGGTTTCTTTGAGTAATTTGGTAGTTTTAAGTAATTAGCGTAAATCCGTCCAACTTCCCCTGCTAGTTAGCTATTTTTCACTTTACTCTTCAGACATATGCCTGTTTTATCATTCCTCACTTTAATAACGTAACAATTCCGTTACTTCTCTTTTCAGAAACGTAATTGTATTTCAGAAGTTAAGTTATAATCCAGATCTCGCGTGTTATCCGTTGCATAGATAATTATTTTATCTGCATGTTTTCTTCAATTCGATATAATTTTTAGTTCCTCGATTTTGATAAGAAACGCTATGATAATAATTTTATTATAAATAATACCCACTTATAAATTTCTTTTGAAAAACAGATAGTTTTTCTTAGATCTAATATTAAAAAAAAATCCTTACCAGCTTTTTGGAAAGTTTAGATGCACTTCTCCTGTATGTATTTCTTTCATTTACTTTAACGATAGTTAGGTTTTTATAGTATTTTTAGTATTTCATTGTGTCTTATAGTTTAAATGCCGAAAATTATTATGTTATTCATAATTAATTTGATAATTAGTTAATCACGTTTGGTTAGAGAAAATGTTTAGTTTTGTGCATATGAATCATGTGAAATCAGAGAAATTAAAAGTCAGAATTTAACGGGAACTCTGTCCTATAACAGTTGAAAGTGTGCTACTAGAGTGGGCATCGTGGAATAAATTCGCAAGGGAAAAACTTCTGAAGAGTTTCAATAAAATGTTTTCTATGACGCTGGTCTTTTGGAGGTCTTGGCAAAAAAAGAAATAGTTAATTATTACCATGATACGTTATTATTTCTTTCAGAATTATTGTCAGAAGTATATTGTAATTTATAAATTTGAAAAATTATAACTATATGCATCTTATTATTTCTACTAGTTTTCGTATTTTTAGGGATATCAACTTCTGATTTCAATTTTTTTACGTTCTTAGAGATTATTACAACCGACTACTAATGCAAATATTATTGCAGTTCTATTCTAGATACTGCTTCAATGGCAAAAATATAGTTAGGAACTGTAGTACACACGTACTTAAGATATGTCTAAAGGTTTTTAAGTTGGTATGATGTATCTACAATGGTTATCATAAATGAAGGAAAAATCACAAAAATCACGATTACTGAAAAAGTTACATGTGAATTTAATGAAACTTACCCACAATATACAGCACATAGTAAGGTATCAAATAACATAAAAAGAAACTACCAGACAAATATGGTAGTATAGAAATTAAAACATGTATAAAATGAACAAATCGAAGGTGTCAGTTTGCTGTACGAAAGGTACCTTCAATATGGTATATGATCGCCTCTAGAAGCAATACAGTACATATAGCGATGTGTGATGCTTTTAATTATGCGGTCTATCAGTTCCATAGGAAGCGATACATGCAAAGCAGTTGCAAGCGCGACAAGGGTTTGAGGGGGCAGATTGTGAGCAGCCAGACGTCTCCCTAAAGCATCCCAAACGTGCTCTATAGGATTCAAGTCCGGAGACCGAGCTGGCCACTCCATGCGCATAATTGTTTCCTGTTGAAGATAATCATCTACGATGCGAGCCCTGTGTGGTCTTGCGTTGTCGTCCTGTAACAGGAAAGCATCACCTATTACCCCGGCATATGGACGCACATAAACATCAAGGACGTCATCTCTATAAACATGAGCATTCACGGTTTCCCTTGGAAAAACATGTAGGTCTGTGCGTGCATCCAAAGAGATGCCACCCCAAACACAGGAACTGCCCCTTCCGTATGCATCACTTTCACGGATGTTTGACGGATGATAACGGATTCTAGGTTCTCTCCATGTCAAATAACGCCTACTATCGCTTTCTAGACTAAACCTGGACTCATCCTAAAGAGAACCGCCCTCCATTGATCAGGCGTCCAGTGGACATGTTGTCGTGCCCACTGAAAACGATCCCTCCTATGGCGTGACGTGAGCGGCTCACAAATGGCTGGTCGCCTCGCATACAGACCACCTTCGTGAAGCCTTCTACGCACAGTTGACGTTGACACGAACCTTCCGGTGGCTACAGCAAGGGAGGATCTAAGAAGAGTCGGAGTAGCGGTTCTATTCCTGTGTGCACATAATGTCAAATATCTGTCATCGGCGTTCATCGTAGCAGTTGGCCGTCCTTGGTTGAACCTCCTGGATGCCGAATCTGTGGTTTGAAATTGTCTCCAAAGTCTATGAACCACAGAAGGACTCACATTTAGCCATCTGGCCACTTCCTGCCTTTTCCTTCCTGCCTGGACTTTATCCTGCCTCTAGTCTCCCAATGCCTCTCCATCGCAGTTCTGCAGGCAAATGATATCTGGAGGTCATTGTACGAATTGACTATCTCAGATTTTCTGATGTCACTGTCACAGTGAAATATATCACTCAAACAAAACTTTTATGCTCCTCGCAGATGACGTATTAAGAAAGCAGCGCCACTAATTTGCATATCGCAGTTTTACTCAGCTACTCTTACTTGGCAACATATTCAAATTTTTCACGGTTTGTCTTATTTTTGAGGAAGCTATCGCTATTTTTGTGATTTTTCCTTAATTTAAGATAACCAGTGTAAATCTGAAGCATAGGTTGTTTTGCAAGTGGCGTATGCGCCCATCATACAATAATTCTGTATTACATAAAGGTATTCCAGTAGAAAATTTCTCTTATTAAAACTCAATTCAAGATTTGTTAATATAGGAAAGTTAGAAATAAACTGATCATTAAAACTTGTATTAAACCAGTTTCTGAAAATTATTACTAAATTGTATTTTGCTATAGTGGTTTGAAAATAAATTACCTGAATAATTAATGTAGGAAAGTTACATTAATTAATTCATGAATTACATGGATAATTAATACAGGAAAGTTAGAAATAAACTGATCAATAAAAAGTTATATTAAACCACTTTTTAAAATTTACTACTAAATTGTATTTTGACGTCACAAGAGACTTAATAAATTATATCAATAGGAAACTTAATACATTAGTCGACTCCTTCAATGGATAATTTATGGATACCCACAGTTAAAAAACACTTTAGCTGCTTTGGTAAAAACTTAAATGCTAACTCTGAAATCTTTTATTGACAGGTTCTACTGTAAATACATTGATGCCTGGTTTTGTTTCTATTACCTTTTCGAAACTGTAGAAAAGCTGAAGAAGTAAACTAAAATGAGATACGGATTGAAAGCCACATAAATTCTAAAACTGCTGTTTGGAATGCTTTTAAAAAAAGAAAATTGCCGTTTTGCCGAAAAACACATGATTTTAGAGAAACGAAATTAATTAATCCGAACGCGGTGGAGACTTTTCTCTTTCTCAGTATTCTGATGTTCAGTTTTGCTAAGGGTAATAAAATGCAACAAGTTTTATAGCAGACTAAATATTTAAAAATACTTTTGCTTCAAAAATTGCAATGGTCTTTAATGAAATTATTTTTTTTGTATTATAATTTTGTTTTGTAAAGAAACTTGTCAAAGTTGTGCATACTGTGTTTCCATATTGAAATACACGATTATATAAGTTGTGAACGATTTATTTTACTTTTTAGGTGATAAAAGATCCAATCAAAATGTCTTGTTGACTCTCATGCATGCACTGATGCTTCGGGAACATAATCGACTAGCTGATCAGCTGGCGAATCTGAATCCAGGATGGAGTGACGAGATTCTTTTCCGGGAAGCCAGAAGACTCTTCTCTGCAGTGATACAGCACATCACATACAGTGAATTTTTGCCTTTGCTTTTAGGTAGAAGTAACTGCTTTAAGTTTAAATTTCGTAAATTATTTAACATTAATATAGTTTTATAGTGGCCGGGCGCTTTATTTAATAGCCATTAGCCTTGCGCCACTACAAGGGCCGGAAGTGGTGGCCATTTTATAATGGAATGTTATGTCTAAAAGGTGACCAACGTTGCCTGCTATCAAGGGAAAGACAGTTACAAACATTGCCTTCTCCAGGTTTCGAACTTGGGCACATCGCTACGACAGTCAGGGTAACTAACCACTATACCGGTTGGGCGGCATTTAACATTAATATGCAAGGTTGCACTCTAAAAAATTGTTTGAAAGGTTTTCGTTTATTTAATTACGGCAAAGCTCGAGGGCTATTTGCCTAAGGGGGTGCCTTCGTGGAGGACCTTTTTAATGAAACTCGCCGTATACACATTGCACATGGAGAAAACCACGTAAACGCCCATGCAGCCAGCCCGTTTGCGGTATCCGAACCTTGGACCAAACTACCAATGTTCAATGTCTTTACCGCTCGGCCCGTTTGAAAGGTTAGTGGATTTAACTAAGGTGTCAATACAACTGAGTAGGCTTTAATACTATGATACCATAGGCAGAGAAATGAAAATTTTTACAAAGGTCCTCTAATGAAAAATTTCCATTTCGAAAATTACTTCTTAATCTACTTAAAAGTCATAGAAAATATCCGAAAATATACCATGATATCTTTAGCATGTATATATGTAAATGTTCTCGTAAAAATTCAGTTAGTAATAGCTTAAATGAATTTGATCTAACAAGATGAATGAATTTTGTTTAACTATTCTTGGACGTGGAAAACGCTTTTTATTGGGTTTCTTATGGGGACTTGGAAAAAATTAAAATTTTATATAAGCTTATTGTACAGTATTTTAATATTTATAGTGTCACTTAACCAGAATTTTCATGTTCTAAAAATCAACCTTATTTGACCCATTACGTAAGTAGAATCATCAGTCTACTGCCAACCATGCAAAAGATAGTTAGTAATGGAGTATTTCTGGAGCACCCTCTATTATGGTTAGTAACTAATACTTGGTTAATAACTATGGTTAGGAACTCATACTTTTAATAAATGCATTTCTAAATTTCGTTGTTTATTATATTGTTACGGATTTGGTAATTAAATAGCTAATGTTTGTTGAATTATAAATTCAATTGTTTTATTTTCCGTGCAGTGTAGCACGTGACGAATATTAAAGGAAATAAGCTAACCCGGAAAGTTAAAAATACAAGAACAGGTGCATTTAATAAATAAATAAATATCTCTTTTTGATTTCGACATATAGAAAGTCTTATCCGAAATCTCATAAAAAGTTCTGTCACATAATACACGTTTTTTCTCATTTTTAATTTCATTATTAATTTGTTATATTAAAAATATCTGATCTCTGAGATGGCATTATTTCATGATTTCGGACCTTTTTTTAGTGGTAAAGTATTTTTTTAGTGACTACTTATTAATGCATATTTTATGCGTTACTAATATCCTGCATTCATTATGAACTCGTACATTTACATATCTCGTATTACACAGATACGATTATTCTTTTGATCTGTAATGAAAAGTTCGGCTTCTTGAACTTCAACGACATTGAAAAATAAAGAAAAAGAAGACATTAAAAAATTAAATATCTGATCATGCTAGCTTAATACTTATCATTAAGTTATATTCATAATTCTTTTCAAATTTCTGGAAGTAAAAGTTAGTCCAGCTAACTCAGCTGCCTACCAATAGATGGCGCTGCATCACTTCTCCCAAAATTGACTTCTGAAGATTTAAGACAGTTCTTTTCTTATTTTCTTTTGAAACATTAGCTTGATGATCTAATTATGTATGTTAATGAGCTCCTGGTTTCAAAAATGAACACAACTTATCGCAGACTATTTAAAATTTAGATTACTGAAATTAAATTTATGATGACATTCTTCATAGATATTTTTGGAATGAGTTCGAATGTTGGCAGTAAATCTTTTTTGACAGATGATTTTAAAATTCCATATTTTTTAACGCATAAAAATGTACTATTTTATTCAAAATGCGTTCAAGTTATACTTCCTACAAACCTCTGGAAGTGATTTTTATTTTTTTTTAAAGTTCATGCTAAAAACTTTCAGAGTTTTTCAAAATATAAATTATGCTTTTATATTAAATTAATTATTTAATTAATGAAAATTTGATTTAAAACCCCTGACGATAAGTATTTATACAAAAGTTTTCTGCAATTTGAGTTTGATTTCCACAGTTTAAAATTTTCATCAAGCACTTTCCAAGCAGTCAACCTGGAATAAGCTAGCAGAGACTAAGTAACACGTCTAAGCAGCAGGAAGGCGGAGTAGAAAAAAGGGCTGCGCAATACTAGCAGCGATATTTGTAGAAAAAAGCTTCCTAATGAAGAATATGTATGCATACATGTAAGTTTCTTGCATTGTGGAACAACTACAACAACTAGCGTCATCGAATTTCTAACGCACAATAGTCCCCCACCCAAAACATGAGCACCTCGAAGCCCGAATTTTGAATTTAGATCCTGTTTATGATTTATTTTCTATTTTGTACATATTTAACGAATTTTTATTTAACAAACTTAGCAATTTTGCTATACTGTTCGAAATAAAACATTTCTATCTTTAGCGTGCCAGACTGTTGCTCTTCGTCAAAGTTTAAGATATTTATCTTTCAATTTTAATCCCTAAATTCCACTATATGAAAGCAACGTGTTGCCACAGCCTCAACTAAAATACTGGTCATCGCCACGCATTAACATATTGCTATTCAGTAAAGTATATAGTATTTAACTTTCCGATTGATCCTCGAAAGTTACTAGGTAACAAATAAACATGCATTTAAATAATGAGGTATCTAATTAAAACTATTAAGCATTTTTATGTAATGACACCGACTGGTCTCATTAAAATTATTATATACTTTTTCTTCTCTTATGATAACTTTTTTTACGAGGCTGGCCGCACCAGGGGCTACTTTTTAAAGAAATAATATAGCGAATGTAAAAGAATATGTGGCAACTTTTAATACTCTATCGAGATTACTAAATATAAGCTTTTTAAAAATTAATTTGTGATTTTGTTCTTGAATTTTATGTAGCATAAGTGCGAAAAAAGCGATGCCTAAAAATAAGGTTAAAAAGACAGAACAACTGTATTAACAGGAGTGAGTTCAAGAGCAGATTGGTAACCTGGGATGCTAAGAGAGAGCATAAAAAACCTTAACAAATCCTCTGGTGCGACATTAAAATCTGAGTCCTTTCAGATTTTCTTTCTTTCTTTCATTAACTTTTATTATTATTACTTTTACTGACAAGTGGAAGTGTAAAGTATGCTACACGAAAAAGAATAATAATAGCGCATAATTTAGTTTTTAGGTTTCGGCAACACAGTGTTCATACTATCATTTTAAGTTAAATCGTATTGCTCGTTCTTTGAGATGTGAAGTTCCACCAAAGTAGTATTTTAGTGATTCCAGTTGAACTTATTTTTCTCTGCTATTTGTTTTTAGTTTTAAAACCCTCATTCTGATTCACAGATTCACTGTTCGTTTGTATACCATCGTTATGCTGCAGAGACATTAGGTTATTTCGAAGCAGGAGAGATGAAAAATGAACAACGCCTTCGCCGGGACTCGAATAACGGTCTGTCGAATATGCGTCGAGCATGCTGACTACTACACTACGAAGGCGGGAGAAATACCTTATATAATCTCCCTTTTTAAAGAGCGAGTGGGGATTAGGGGGCCCCAGTCGCCAAATCTTGGGTGTGGAGAATCATCATCCACCACCTTTTTAGTTCGGGCGCCACTGTAGAGACATTAGGTTATTTCGAAACAGGAGAGATGAAAAATGAGCAACACCTTCGCCGGGACTCGAACAAGGGCCTCTCGATTACGCGTCGAGCGTGCTGACCGTTACTTTAAGAAGGCATGCTAAGAAGGCGGGAGAAATACCTTATAATGCATTTAATTAACTGCTTTGTTACATATTACGTAACATTTTAAATGTATTTTATTTACAAAATCAGCTTTCCTGCTCGATGTTATAGGAAGAAAAATAATAATTCCGGGCTTTTACGAAAGATTGTTGGAACAGTGTATTTCACAAATATATTGCAAATAAAAAATTGTGTGCTAAATGAAATAAAAAAAATCTTTCAAATTTTAGACAGCAATGTAAATATTTGATGTTTACTCCTAATGCCGTTTGTAATAGAGACAATTGTAGAGATTCCAATGCCAGTAATATTAAGTCGACTGCATACTCGTAAGCACTGAGCTTAAAATTGGAGACTTCGATGATGGTCTGCAAAAGGCTGAGATATCTTCTCTATTCGACAACAATCTAAGGAACGGGAGTTCATTATGAAAGTAACGATGTAACTGATTGTGTCATTAAGTGCAGCCTAATTTTTATGAAATATGAAATCTTCTCAATCATCTTGCAATGAAGGAAATATTAATTGTAAAATATCAAGTAAGACATACCCATAGTACCAATAGGTAAATACTTTACTTATTCTAAAACCCAAACTGGTTTCTGTTATGAACTCGACATTTTGAAAATGGATGTCGTGTCTGCTACACAATGTATCAAAGGAAAATTTGCACCCACGAAATAAAAAAAAATTTAAGTCGTTTTCTTTTGTTGCATGAAAATCAATAACATGTGTGTGTAAGAAATTTTATGTGGAAATATATTTTATCGCCAAAGAGGGCGTAAATCTTTCATGATGTATATATACTTCTTGTTCTTGGATCTGGCATCCGCCAGTTGAATGTGTGTTAGACTTGAATAAACTTGGCAGTTTAGAAACTTGATTTGTAGTGTTCATGTATCTTGATGTTATGTGTGATTCGAATTAGTGTTTTTTGAACTAAGATATCTTGCAATTCTTGACAGTTAATATAATATTTTATACTTTTGGCGCCCAACAGTTGCGCACGAACAATTTTTTATTTAGAATGCGGTG